CAGAGCAGCAGCACTCAGCGCACCACATCCCAAAGCCTGGTCTCTCGGAGCACGCGCATTCCACTTGGAAGCTGCCAGGTCACCCTCAGACACAAGCTGGTTTCTTAGCATGGGAGCCAGGCAAGCAAGTTTTAAATAAGGTGGGTCCTCAATTAGTGGTCACTATGAGAAATTCGGGAGTGTGATCAAAGTGTTGCACTTTCTTCCAATTTTTTAAAAAACAAACGAGTTGGATTTTGTGTGCTATCTTCCCATTTACAAATATTGGTTGGATGTATGTAGGGAAAGTGGGTCAAACAAAATCTGTGCAGTGTTGCAACTCAGTGGCGGCAGTGGTGGGGAAGCCTAGAGCATATATTTGAGATCTTTAATTTTTTTTTTTTGAGATGGAGTTTCGCTCTGTCGTCCAGGCTGGAGTGGCACTATCTCTGCTCACTGCAAGCTCCGCCTCCTGGGTTCATGCCCTTCTCCTGCCTCAGCCTCCTGAGTAGCTGGGACTACAAGCGCCTGCCACCATGCTTGGCTACTTATTTGTATTTTTAGTAGCGATGGGATTTCTCCATGTTAGCCAGGATGGTCTCAATCTCCTGACCTCAAATGATCCACCTGCCTTGGCCTCCCAAAGTGCTGGGATTACAGGCATGAGCCACCATGCCTGGCTGAGATCTTTAATTTTTTTTAAGGCCAAACTTTTTCCTGTCTCTTAGGAACCAGCTGTGGACCTTACACATTTGTGGTTCATAAAATATTTAAAGAAATATTTTTATATCAGTTCAACTCCAGCTACGCATTACAATCACCTGGAGAGGTTTTAGTTAAGTAAAAAAAACAAAACAAGGCCAGGCGCGGTGGCTCACCCCTGTAGTCCCAGCACTTTGGGAGGCCGAGGCAGGTGGATCATGAGGTCAGGAGATCGAGACCATCCTGGCGAACATGGTGAAACTCCATCTCTACTGAAAATACAAAAAAAATAGCCGGGGGGTGGTGGCGGGGGCCTGTAGTCCCAGTTTCTAGAGAAGCTGAAGCAGGAGAATGGCATTAACCCGGGAGGCGGCGGAGCTTGCAGTGAGCGGAGATCGCACCACTGCACTCCAGCCTGGGCGACAGAGCGAGACTCTGTCTCAAAAACCAGAACAAAACAAAACAAAACAAAACGAAGACATGGCTAGAATGATGTTCAAGGTGATAATCAGAGTCAGCCTCAAAGTCATGTCAAGGTCCAAATGGCTCAAGCTCAAGGTAAAGTTGAAACTTACGGTGTGATATGGTCAGAATGCTAGTCAGCACCAGGACAAGGTTGGGTCCAAGGTCATACCAGTGCTAAGGATTAGAGCCAAGAGGATCAAGGTCATTTGAAGGTCAGAGCAGTTCAAAGGCAGACTATCATCAATGGCAGGATGACTACGGTTAACTTAAGAATGGTTAAGGTCAGCTAGATTCAGGTATAAACTTAGGGGAAGTATAAACTTATGGCCAGGACGATGTTCAGGGTTGGCTTCAGATTCAGATTCAGGGCTATGAAAAGCATCAGCGCGTACTGGATTCAAAATCAATCAAGGTCAGTTTCAAGGGCAAGTTTAAAATGAGGGCAAAACATGGTCAGGGTGATGGCTAGGATGAGGACAAGGGTCAGAATTAGGGCTAGATTCAAATTCAAGGTCAAGTTCATGCTTATTTCAGCTTAAGGTCAGGATGACTGTGTATGAGATTCAAGATCAGGATCAACACACCTGTAATCTCAGCACTTTGGGAGGCCAAAGTGGGCAAATCATTTGAGGTTGCGAGTTTGAGACCAGCCCAGCTAACATGGTGAAACCCTCTCTACTAAAAAATACAAAATTTAGCTAGGTGTGGTGGTGCACACCTGTAATCCCGGCTACCCAGGAGGCTGAGGCAGGATAATCGCTTGAACCCAGGAGGCGGAGGTTGTGGTGAGCTGAGATCACACCACTGCATTCCAGCCTGGGTGACAGAGTGAGACTCCGTTTAAAAAAAAAAAAAAAAAAGTCAAGGTCAGGACATGTGGGTCAGTTTCAAAGTTATCCAAGGTCACCTCAAGGGGATCAAGGTCAGGATGATCGTAAGTGTAAATCAATTAGAATGAGTCTAATGTGCTAATGAAAAGAATTGGTATTAGTACAAGTACATCCAGTCTCAATCATCTGATTCATGTAACTCCTAATTGCATGCGACTGACAACTGAGAGGAAGGTAAGCAGGTCACATACATTCCTCTCTAGGGCACGTTCTTACTGCAAGGTAGAGTGAACCAAGATGCACCTACTTCGTGCTATTGGAAGGCATCATTTTCAGTGCAAAAAAGGTTAGTCTCAGATCTCTAAGGTGAAATCTTATTGCTGGTCAATGTTAACGGACATGAATGTAAACAATGCAATACACATTAACCTCAAAGGCATATTCTTACTAAAAGATGAGTGGAATCAGAATGAACCCCAGTAGGAGTTTGGATGAGAATTCCTGTTAGTACAACAAACTCAGGCATTCTTCTTAAAACCAAATCCTCATAGCTTATTGGGGGAGATAAAAGTCGGCACAGCAACACACACTCACATGGAGACAGAATAAGCTGGGATCTGAGGAAGGAGTACTACTGAAACAAGTACATATTAGTACAACAAACTCATTCCCAGATGTCCTTTCCAAAACTTTTTTTTTTTTTTTTGAGACGGAGTCTCACTCTGTTGCCCAGGCTGGAGTGTAGTGGCACAATCTTAGCTCATTGCAACCTCTGCCTTCTGGGTTCAAGCAATTCTCCTGCCTCAGCCTTCCAAGTAGCTGCAACTACAGGCGCCTACCACCATGCCCGGCTAAATTTTGTATTTTTATTAGAGACGGGGTTTTGCCATGTTGCCCAGGCTGCTCTCAAGCCCCTGGCCTCAGGTGATCCACCCACCTCGACCTCCCAAAGTGCTGGAATTACAGGTGTGAGCCAGTGTGCCTGGCCAAAAGTAACTTCTGATTACTTGTTAGAGCAAACTGAGATGGATGTAAACACAGCAACACACTCATCTCTCATTCTCACCTCGAGGCAAATACAAATGAACTCAAACAATCCATAGTACTGCAGACAAACTCAGTCCCAGATATTCTTCTTAGAAGTATATCCTTACTGCTTATTGCAGCAAAATGACAAGTTCCCCTCTTTTGAGAGAAAACACATGCTTATGCTGAATCTACATAGGAATATAGAAAAAGGCACTGTGTTGATGCAGAGCTCAGTCTCAGCCATGGCTTCCTACTGTAGTTAAGCTGAATCCCTTAGATAAACATTATACAATTTAGGGTTATAATATGACACCAAGCTCAGCCATCAGGCTGATGGGACATGAGACTAATTAGTCCCAGGTCAGAGAGTAAGACCTATTGTCATAGTAGGGTTCCATATTAGCTTCAAAGTCAGGTGATGATTAGGGTCAGGAGGTGGGTCAGAGTCAAGGTTATTCAACAGTGATCATGTTTAGGGTAAAGTCAAAGTCAGTTCAAAGCCAAAGCCGTTAAAATTAAGGTAAGCCAAGGACAATGGTTGAAATCAGAGTCAATTAAAGATTACATTCATCTTAAGCTAAGTAATGTCAGGATGATCATCAGTTTAGGATAAAGGTCAAGCAGGTCAGAAGTCAAGGTCCATTTTAATGCCACATACAAGGTCAAGACCAGTGTAACACAATCAGAGGAACAGATGCCTGATTTGCAGAGGTGAGCATCACACAAGAGTCCACACACTGTGGCCCAGTCACTGGGCCCCAAGCTGGGGCCCTCTAGAGTACAAACACCTGATGAGGTCCAAACAAATACAGGACCAGAGAAGATTTAAGTCATGCACCACCAGCCAGGGTGAAATCGCACTGTGGATAATCTCACATTGTGCAGCATCTGAGCTTCTAAACTATGCTATTTCTAACACATAAAGTACATGCCAAGAGGAGCCACAAGGAAATAAACCAGGTGAGGAGCCTGAGAAGTAGAAATGTAAAAAAGTGTAGCAAAGTAGAATTCAAGATCTAAGTCAATGAGGTACTTCTGCAAAACCTAAAGTGACCCATGGCCTGAACTACTACTATTTTAATAAAATTGCTTCTAAGTGGGATCTATTCCATTCCAGGTAGGGATTTACATATGTTGGAATACAGGGTCTCTGCTGCCAAATCTTCCTCTCCTGTGACAAATGCAGAATTATACATCTAAGTGTTAACAACTAGGTCAACTAAAAATAAAACACATAACACACGACTAGGTTACAGTTACACCTACAGGATATGCATGGCTCAGAGGTCCCCAGCAGTTTGTGGTTGATCTTCTAAAGGGACAATGCTTTCTCCATCCATGGTCCTCAACCTCCAACACTGCGATTAAACTACCCACCCCTCCCCGCTCAAAAAAAAAAACAACAAAAAAACAACTAGGGACAGGCACTACAGGACCAGATATGAGAGGGCCTTTCTGCCTCGAAGCACCACACATGCCCATTTATGGAGGGCTCCTTGCTGGATAAGGCATTGGCTATGATTAGCTCATGTGGTCTCTACTGAGTCAAAGCTCTCAAAGAAGGAAAAAAAGACATGGCAAAGGCAGATGATCATTGTTCTTGTTCAATTTTATTGGCATTGCGTTCATCTCTTTACAGAAGAACTCAGCCCACACCCTAGAATGTAGACCTTTGGAAAAAGGAGAAGTGCTCCATTAAGCAAGCTACAATGCGGGGGCAGATCCTAGGAAGGGAGCAGAACTGCCAGGGTTCCAACCAAAGAAACAGGTTAATTAATAATGGGCAATATTGGGGAGATGGGTGGGGAAAAGGAGAAAAAGCTCCGCTAACCTAAGGATACCACAACCCTGAAAGGAGCGCCTTCTAGAACAAAGGTAAAAATCACTAGGACAGATCTGTGAGGGTTTTCCTTTCACTCTCATAGTAGGATGCTGATCTAACAGGGGAGTTTTGAAGTGTGGAGCAGGGGGGAAAAAAAGAAAGAAAATGAGAATTTTAATTTTTGAAATAACGGCAATTTATCCATTGCACATACCACTGTATTATGCAAATCAACCTTTTGGAAAATTTAGACACAGAAGGGAACTAGACAGTTTTCCCCCTGGAGAGATGAAAAGCTTTTTGGCTCTTAAGTCTTTGATAAAAGGCGTACATAATTCTTGTGTCTACTGTACAGAATACTGCCGCTAGCTGGATTTCCCAATTCTGAGTAACACTCTGCAATCCAAACAGGGTTCAACCCTCCATCTTACATGCCTGCATTACAGGACTTAAACACATAATCCAAGAATTTCTTACACTAATTTATACATTTTAATTGGTTGCATATATTAACATGTACTATAAGATTCTTTTCTAAGAAGCATTACATAATAAATGGATACTGTAAAAAGATCTGATTAGTTAAAAGTAACAAGCATTAACAGATAGATACATACAAAACTCAGCCTGATCAGACTGGGTGTGAGCCTGTAATGGGGCATGGGGCACCAGCCTTCCCAAGGGGTAGCCTTCAAGGAGGGAGGGGAAAGGGGAGGTAAAAAGACCACAAGACCGTTAAAAAAAAATTAGACACAGATTAACTGTAAACAGTTCTCTCTCTCTCCAGTGGACAAAAAGAATAAGCTTCCAATGCCAACTCCATATCAGAATGACATCCACCGCTGGCCTGTCCTGCTGCCATACACGCGGGCTCATGTGAGTGGGCAGGCAGACCCCAAGAGCCATCATGGGCAGGGGCTGGAGTCTGATTATGTCAGGGGTGTGTGTGTGTGTGTGTGTGTGTGTGTGTGTGTGTGTGTGAGAGACATGTGGGGTGTAACTGTGTTTGATGGGGTTTTCTTTTGGCAGCTGGATGTGAGAGATCAATGTATGTTTTGTTTGGAAGAGGAGAGGGGGAATTGTGTTGAAGGCCTACGTGTGTTCTTGGTTTGTGAAGGACTCTGTGCTCAACTCTCACTGCCCCCTCAGCAACTGCAGCTTTCTGCCGAGGCCTTGGCCCGGTCATTCTTGTCCAGTTTGATAGGTTCAGGGAATTCGTTGTACAGCTCCACCTCCGTTTCCTGGACAAGGAGACAGAGAAAGGTTGGTTATTCAGGGAATTGAAACATTTCAGCCCTCATTGCGGGCCCTTTCTGCCCAGGAGGGGCTCACTTCTGCTTGGGCAAGCAGAGTGGGCGGAGAGCTGTGGAGCAGAGCCTGCCCACGCAGTTAAGGGAACACTCTGGCAGAAGATGCCACACTCAGGAAGTAGCAAGAGAAAAAGATTTTGTGACAACTCCAGGTCAATGTGAAGAGAGGAGTCCTGCCAGGAGAAGCATCAGTCTGCACTGAGCAATCAGGACAGAAGTTCACATACATTCTCAATCAGATCATGATCTGGGAGCTCTGGGACCACATCCACATCCAGTTCAGATGCTTTCTGTATGTTCCCTATAGTTGACAATGGTTAACAATGGTGTGGATTTCTAGCTTTTCTCAAACATCTGGCAACCCTCAGTCAGTATGTGCACGAGGTGAAGTGGCTGGAGCTGAGTATGAGCTGCCCTCTCAACCTGGAACACTCCTTCTACCTCCCCATCTTCCATACACTTTTCTGGACCAATGGCCTCTGCTCTGGTCTCTTTTTTCTTCCAAAGGTTTAGCAGAGTTTTGTCTCCCAAATGCTGCAGGCCTAGAAAGGCAGCTGTGAATGAATTTTATTACCATCTGTGACAAGTGATCAGAGCAGATGGACTATGGTCATTTTAGTGGGACTTTGCTAAAGTAACATGTTTCCAATGAGAAGTAGCATTCTACTTTTGGCTGCAGGAAAACAATGTCACTTAAACATTGAGCACTTGTGTGCCAGTGACTGTTTTAGGATTTGCAGATAAAGCAGGAACTGTTTCTATTCATTAAAAGTTATCTAGGAAAAAAATCATTCCATTCACAATAGCTATAAAAGTATAACACATCTAGGAATACATACTTAAAAAAATAACAGCTTTGGCTGAGCATGGTGGCTCATGCCCGTAATCCCAACACTTTGGAAGGCCGAGGCAGGTGGATCACCTGAGGTCAGGAGTTCAAGACCAGCCTGGCCAACATGGTGAAACCCCGTTTCTACTAAAAATACAGAAATTAGCCGGGCATGGTGGCAAGCAAGCACCTATAATCCCAGCTACTCAGGTGGCTGAGGCAGGATAATTACTTGAACCCAGGAGGTCGAGGTTGCAGTGAACCAAGATGGTGCCACTGCACTCCTAATAGCTTTATTGGGTTTTAACTCACATGCCATAAAGTGTACAATTCAATGGTTTTTAGTATATTCAGAAAGTTGGGCAACCATCAACATTAACTCTAAAATACTCTCATCACCCCCCAAAAAAAACCCTATGCCCATTAGTTCCTTCCCACTCCCATTCTACACTATCCTGGACCCAGCAACCACTGATCTACAGTCTCAATAGACTTGCCTATTATTCTGGACACTTAATTTTTAAACATTATTTATTTATTTTAATTTTCCCCATTTCTTCTAGTGGACTGCAATTTTTGTTTGCTTTTTATTTTTCTGAGGCAGAGTCTTGCTCTGTCGCCCAGGCTGGAGTGCAATGGCATGATCACAGCTCACTGCAGCCTCTAACTCCTGGACTCCAGTCTTGGTGTCCCAAGTAGCTGGAACTGTAAGCTCGTGCCACTACGCCTAGCTAATTTTTAATTTTTAGTAGAGATGGGGCCTTGCTATGTTGCCCAAGATGGTCTCAAACTCCTGGTTTCAAGCGATCCTCCAGCCTCAGCCTCCCAAAGTGCTGTGATTTTAGGCAGGAGCCACTGCATCCGGGCCGGACATTTCACTGAAATGGAATCATACAACATACGGTCTTTTTACAACTGGCTTCCTTCACTTAGCACCCATGTGGCAGCAGGTGTCACTACTTCATTCCTTCTTATAGCTGAATAATATTAGAATGCATGGATAAGCTGTCCTTTGTTTATTCACTTATCAGTTGATGGACATTTGAGTTGTTCTTACTTTTTGGCTGTTACAAATAGCGACATTTTATATTGCCACTAGTACCTAGGAATATGTTTACTGTGAAAGGCAAAGGATCCTATTATAAATCAATTATAGCTTGGGTGTGTCTGTAGTCCTACCTACTTAAGAGGCTATGGTGGAAAGATCACTGGAGCCCAGAAGTTGGAGGCTACAGTGAGTGATGATTGTACCACTGCGTATCAGCCTAACTGACAGAGCAAGACCCTGTCTCTTTAAAAAAAAAAAAAAAAAATCAATCAATCTTACTGAAGCAACAGAAACAAGACCTAAAATAGATTCATGGGTGGAATGTTTTGTTTTTTTGAGATGGAGTTTTGCTCTTGTTGCCCAGGCTGGAGTGCAATGGTGCAATCTCAGCTCATTGCAACCTCCGCCTCCCAGGTTCAAGCAATTCTCCTGCCTCAGCATCCTACGTAGCTGGGATTACAGGTGCCCACCACCACACCCAGCTAATTTTTTGTATTTTTAGTAGAGATGGGGTTTCACAATGTTGGCCAGGTTGGTCTCGAACTCCTGACCTCAGGTGATCCACCTGTCTCGGCCTCCCAAAGTGCTGGGATTACAGGTGTGAGCCACCCCACCCGGCCGGGCAGAATGTTTGTGTTCCTCCAAAATTCCTGTGTTGAAGCCCTAACCCTTCAGGTGGCTGTATTTGGAGTAAGGAAGGAATGAAGGTTAAATGAGGTTGCAGGGTGGGGCCCTGATCTGAGAGAATTCGTGTCCTTATAAGAAGAGGTGACACCACAGACACCTTGCTCATGTGTCCTCTCTCTGTGCACACAGTAGAAAGGGCATGGGAGGACACAGTGAGAAGACAGCAGTCTGTGAGCCCAGAAGAGCGCCCTCACCAGAAACAAAATATGCCAGCATCTTGCTCATGGACTTCCAGCCTCCAGAACTGTGAGAAAACAAAATGCCTGTTGTTGGACCCACCCATGTTGTGGGGTTTTGTTAACGCAGACTGAGCAGACTAATGCAACAGCTGCAACAAAACTGCAATCAATGGGGAAAAACAGTGGGCTTGAAGAAAAAAATTCCAATCAAAATCTCAACAGAGTTTTATTTGGGGTGTGGAAGGTAAGAGAGGAAAATCATGGAACTGAAACAAAATTATTAAAAAATAATGTGGCAGGCAGGGCGGGGTGGCTCACGCCTGTAATCCCAGCACTTTGGGAGGCTGAGGTGGGCGGATCACAACATGAGTTTGAGACCAGCCTGGCCAATATGGTGAAACCCTATCTCTACTAAAAAATACCAAAATTAGCCAGGCGTTGTGGCAGATGCCTGTAATCCCAGCTACTTGGGAGGCTGAGGCAGGAGAATCACTTGAACCCGGGAGGCGGAGGTTGCAGTGAGCTGAGATCACGCCATTGCATTCCAGCCTGGGCAACAGAGCAAGACTCCACCTCAAAAAAAAAAAAAAAAAAAAGAATGTGGCAAGAGGAAACTTGCCTTATCAGGCAGTGAAGTGAAATCAAGACAGTCCAGATAAGGGAACATGGCATGGACATCACCAGAACAGACTGGAGAGACCAGAAACAGATCCCAGCACATATGAGCATTTAGCACAGGCCACGGTCTATTCAGGGAGGGAAACGGCTTATGTAACATAGCCGAATGATTTCAAACAACTGGCTGAGCTCTCTGAGAGAAAAGGCAAGTCTCTCTTTCCTGCCATAAGCCAAAACAAATTCCAGCTGAATTAGAGAAAAATCTGATGTAGACACAGGAAACACAGAAACTTAAAATGACATACCCAAATAAAAAATTACTTTTTCCCTATGTTCAAAGGACTTAAAAATACCACAGAGTTGAAAAAGTCACTTGAGATGCAAGTAGAATTAACTTCAACTGACTAGCAGCTCATGAGAACTGAGAGGCCCAACCATGTGCTGTGTGCTGGCTGTGTGCAGCAGAGAAAATCCAAATGGCTAAGCCCCAGGGAGAGGGACTCAGAGGGACCAGTAGCCACGATGGTGGCAATTTATACACCCAAAGATTGGCAATGTCAGCAGAGTGACAAGTGACACCTATTGCTTGCTGGCAAGGAGGTAGAACAAAGCAAGTCCACGCTGCTGAAATGTTATTCCCCTTGGGGAAAGCAACCTGGCACCCTAACTTATAATAAAACAGACCCTCCAAAGTAACAATCTAACTCCTTAGGGGCTAGCTCTAAAAATAAAAGCATAAAGACAACAGGGACAGTAGTGATGGAAGAGAAAAACTCAAGACGGTGATGCCAGGCAGCAGGGCAACAGGTGGGAAACACTATCCTACACGTATTTGGATTTCCATTCCCTTATATGAACATTAAGAAAAACGCAACCGTTTATTATTTGTGGGTGAGGGTGGCCAAGTCTGCATCTTGGTCTTTTCCTTACCACTTGAGGGCTCTCCTGGCATTCTGGGTAGAACAAGTTCCTCATTGAGTAGGTCTGTCCCTTTCATTCTGGAACACTTAGTGCAGACCCCACTCATGTCAGAATTTCCCTGGTCCTTGGAGCAACCATTCCAAACAACTCTCTGTCCTGCTGAAAGCCATTACCTTCATTCTGCCGGCTTCCTGGAGTCAGCAGAATCTGCCTTGCCCTTCACAGCCACTATGTGCTTCAAGTGCTCTATGCATCCCCCCAAACCTGTCACATCTCTGACCACCCCTAGACACTGTCTGATGCGGCCTCGTGACCTGCCTTAATCACCACTGCCCCTAACAGAGTTGTACATCGAAACAGACTTTCAACTTGCATGACTGGTTGTATCTAATCACAGAAACAGTAAGAAAGAAATTCTAGGTATTGTATTCCTTGAATAGTTTTCCTACATTTTCTTCCTTGTGTTGTTTACTTAACTGTTCCTAAGGAAAAAAGTTACCTGTCAGTATGTGAGAGCTGAAAGAGTTGGTTTCATTTAATCTTCATAATCACCCTGCAAAAGCAGGTATTCCCATTTTTCAGGTGAGGGGGTAGAAGTTCGGATATTATTTTATTTTATTTTATTTTATTTTATTTTATTTTATTTATTTATTTTTTTTGAGATGGAGTCTCACTCTGTCGCCCAGGCTGGAGTGCAGTGGCTCGATCTCGGCTCACTGCAAGCTCCGCCTCCCGGGTTCATGCCATTCTCCTGCCTCAGCCTCCTGAGTAGCTGGGACTACAGGCGCCCGCCACCGCGCCCGGCTAATTTTTTGTATTTTTTAATAGAGACGGAGTTTCACCGTGGTCTCGATCTCCTGACCTTGTGATCCGCCCGCCTCAGCCTCCCAAAGTGCTGAGATTACAGGCGTGAGCCACCGCGCCCGGCCGGATATAATTTTATTTTTAATTTTTTGTTTTGAGAAAGAGTCTCACTCTGTCACCCAGGCTGGAGTACAGTGGTGCAATCTTGGCTCACTGCAACCTCTGCCGCCTGGGTTCAAGCAATTATCTTGCCTCAGCCTCCCGAGTAGCTGGGATTACTGGCAACCCCCACCAGGCCTGGCTAATTTTCTTTTTATTTTTTAGTGGAGATGGGGTTTCACCATGTTGACCAGGCTAGTCTCAAACTCCTGACCTCAAGTGATTGGCCCACCTTGGCCTCCCAAACTGCTAGGATTATAGACGTGAGCCACCGTGCCTGGCCATAATATATATATTTTTAAGCCCAAACTAGATATAATGATTGGTAGGCAGCAGAGCTGGGATTTGTATTCAAGTTAATTTCCTTCTTAAATAGAGCAGCAATCTGATCAGGGGTCTCCCAGTGACCTGATCTCCTAATCGCAGCCAAGAAAATAAGAACAAGCCTAGTAAAAGAAGGGCAGTCTCAGTCTTCCCAGCCTCTACATCTTTTAGATTACTTCCCCAAAGTGGGGTTTCTGGAAGCTTAAGCAGAACATGTCATAACCTTCCCAGATGAACACTTAGGGTATTCTGGCTACATAGAAAAGAGTCGGTTAGGGAAGAAGATTAAGGGCAGGAGGTCAGGCAGGGACTGGGTCAGTGGTCGGGCATCACAAGAGTGGGCAGGTCAGCTGTGGGAGACCCACCTGCTTAAGTGCATTCCGTGCAATCGTCTGGAATGCCTGCTCCACGTTGATGGCCTCCTTGGCACTGGTCTCAAAGTAGGGAATGTTGTTTTTGCTGTAGCACCAGGCCTGTGCCCGCTTTGTGGCCACCTGAAAGGAGAAGTAGGGTGCACACAGGCTCATGATAGAAGCAGCTAGCACTGACTCCATCCTCCCCAGGAAGTGTCATGGTCCCTCGTCTACAGGTGGTACAGGTGAGGACACAGATGTGGGGAAAGAGGGTGTTGGAAGAGACCAGTAGACCCGTCCAAACTCTCCCTGCTGGCTATGCTCAGGATAGCTAGGATTCAGCTAGAGAGCTCAAAGCCTGTCTCAGTCTACAGCTCATACCTTCTGACCCTCAGTTATACTTAAAAGCCATTTGTGAATGGAGTAAGAAGCCAGTCTGGGAAGAAATGAAGAGTGTTTACTGGGACCTCAGAGATCCCAGGACAGGAAATGCCCAGCAGCTTGGTATTAAGGTTTAGAGTCCCTTTACCATTACTGCTAGTGTGATGTCACCCATGCCACTCACACATTCTCATTCCTTCCCCAACCCCTAGCCCATTTTCAGCCAAGAGATAAGGACTAAGTCACTTAGGAAGGGGAGAAAAAAAAGATCCATGGTCAGAAATAAACTTAGTCGTAATTAATCAAAGAGTCTATGTTTCCAACAGAAATGATATTTGAAACCATAACTATAGTACAGCAATTTCACTCAAAGCCCAAAGCAATATTCTGCACACATGGAGATCCAGGCACGGCCTGGAGGTACTGGGAGGGCACTACTGAGAATGACAAAACTGAATTCCCTCCTTCAAAGTGCAGAAAGGGAACTGAAGCTGAGATAGCCAAGACAATGGCCTAAAGTCACAGTCAGCTGGGAGCAGGATGGGGACTTAACCCAGGTCACCTGGGTCCCAGTCCTTAAAGGCAGTTGGCCTGAAGGGCTGGCATAGGGTGATGAAGACTCCCACCAGCACCTCCTAGAGCCATGTGAGCTTAGCAGAGAACCCTCCAAATTCACAAGGCCCCTCGGGAGCAGGTGTCTGTGACAATATCTATCATCGTTGGTACTTACTTGTCTGTTTTCGAGGTCAATCTTGTTTCCCAACACAACAAAGGGGAAGTTTTCAGGATCTCGGGGACTGGCCTGGATGAGAAACTCATCTCTCCAGCTATCTAGGGTTTTGAATGTGTTGGGGGCAGTCACATCAAATACCAGAACACAGCAGTCTGCACCTCTGTAGAAGGCCACACCAAGAGACTGGAACCGTTCCTGTCCTGCTGTGTCCCATATCTGTGAGAGACAAAACATTTATTCCTCGGGAGAGTGCTAGGCAGAGCACAAGGAGCATGTATGCAGGGGGTGCCAGAAGAAATGGGCTAGATTGTGAGGTCACCCACAAAGACAAATGACACCAGACTTCAGGAAGCAAATTTCAGCACCAGAGTATCTGAAACAATCCTCACCAATATTGTATGTAAGTATGTGTCTGTCTATGAGAAGGTGACATTGAGTCCAATCTCCAGGGCGCTAGAAATTTCTTATATCTTGATCCAAGTAGTGGTCACATTTAGGTAAATGTGTAAAATTTGAACTATAAATAAAACTTAGGTACTCTGGGAACTTTCTGAGAGCAATGGAAATACAGGGAAGTGAGGTGATGACTCACAAATGATACAGTTCAATTTATGCATTTTACTGTATGAAAAGTTTGCCTAGCCAGGCACAGTGGCTAACCTGAGGTCAGGAGTTTGAGACCAGCCTGACCAACATGGAGAAACCCTGTCTCAACTAAAAATACAAAATTAGCCAGGTGTGGTGGTGCATGCCTGTAATCCCAGCTACTTGGGAGGCTGAGGCGGGAGAATCTCTCGAACCCAGGAGGCGGAGGTTGTGGTGAGCCGAGATCGTGCCACTACCCTCTAGCCTGAGCGACAAGAGCGAAACTCTGTCTCAAAAAAAAAAGAGAAAAGTTAGCCTAAACAACAAAAAAGATTAGCATGTTATATTTCATTTGTATTATACCTCAATTAAAAAAAAAATGAAAAACTCTTGACAGAAAGAGATCAAGAGAAAGACAATGAGAACACACACCAGATTAAACAGGTACTACTGACCAGCTCTAAGCTGGTCATATCATTCACTGCCATGCTAGGTTTAAGAGCAAGGCTGGGTATATTTACTGCCCTAGATCCGTAACAGGCACTCAAACAGAGCCAAACATGATAACAACTCAGATACAAGAATGAAGGGCAAAAAAGATAAATTTATCTCTCATGATTCCACTGCCTCTCAGCAGGTTAGGGCACTAAATGTTCCCTTCCCCAGATACAATAAACGAAGTCCACACATGTAGACTAAACAGGATCAGGGCTGCTGATGGTACTCATTTATGTGCTCTCCTGGTTCTCCAATGTTCTACACGGAATACATATGCATCTCTGTCAGTGGAGAAATGACCCCATTCTCAAACAAACAAACGAACACTTGGCATCCTCCCACACAGGAAGGAGTTCATGTCTTGTTCTAGTTATTTGTGTGGAGAGGTTTTCTGGAGCTGACTGGAGACTGTACATGTGACACTCTCCACATTCTCCCACACTCCTCCCCTTTACCCCGTCACGCACTAGGGCACTCTGGCAACAGCAGATGGGGTGACGTGGGAGAGCAGGTTCACTGGACTTTACAGCTGCCCAACAGATTTAGTGAATCATCCATTCCTGTTTTTAAGAAAATATTGTTGCCAATCTCCTGTAATTATAAACAACTCAGCAATGAACATTAGCATACAGAGCTTTTTCTGTATTTCAAATGGCTTTTTTCCAGGAAGACTCCTACAAGCAGAATTACATAAGAACTCTGTTATGTTAGGTGGAACCAATTCATCATCTGGAACTCATATACACAGAGAAGGCAAAGTAATACTTTCAAAAAGAAAAGTCAACAAGTTGATGGGTTCCTAGAAAGTTACCAAAATTAATTTAATTTTGAATTTACAAAAGTAAAGGCCATATTTATCAAAACATCAACAAATACAGTCCTATGGCTGACTGTGATCTTTAAATTTTTTAATATTTTAACTGAAATTGTTAACAGTGACCTAGGTTCTTGGAATCTTCCATGACAGAAATCAAGAGAGATCACCAGACACAATAGCAAAGAGAAAGTGAAAGTTTATTTAGCTTGTGCATAGTGAGCTAGCACTGCAAAAGGAAAGGGGCAGCTGTTCTCTGAAAGCAGTGTGGGAGTTAACTTTAAAGGGCCTTCCTATGGGGAGGGGTGATGTCAGGGTATGTATATCTCCTATTACTCTACCACATACACAGTGGCTAAACATGCTTCTTCAGAAATTGCGTGTAGCACTAGCAGGTTAAATCTCCACCCTGGGTGTGATTTTTAGCATTAAAATGAGGAAAAGGTAACTATAAGTTGAAGTCTAACTGCACATGCTGGGGGCGCCAGGGAGGTCCCTAGCCCCATGAAGCAGGAACTTATGATAACAGTTTCTTGGGATTTTTTTTGCTGCTGATTGTCTGGAAGTTAGGTAAGCTACAGCTTGAGTAAGGGGCTTTTGTTCTTTTTCTCTAGACTACATCAAAACAGGGAACCAGCCAACCTGCTTGTCTCAAAATGGTTTGTTTTCTCCATTTAAAATTATACCCTTATAACTATCTACCCAATACTCTGATGTTACCAGAATTAACACTGTTATTTTAATCCATTTTTTCCAAGAATTAACCCTTCCCCCATTGCATTTTCTTCCTACTTTACCACAAGCAAATGCTCCTGAAGAGATACCTTACATAAATAGTATCATTCTGTACAGCTTTTTGCAACTTGTCTTTTTTCACTCCCAAAAGTTAACAGTTATATAATATTTCATTGCCTTAACAGACTACACTTAGTTTCCCAGATCATTTGAGTTACTTGCAGTTTTTCACTACTACCCATGCAACGCTGCAATGGTAACTCTCGTTACACCTCAGACGTCATGCCCGGACGTAAGTTTCTCTAGGCCATACACTCAGACTGTTGCTGCATAAGTGTATGTTCAACACTGGGGAACAGAGTGGCAGTTTCTACTGAAAAGGTTGTACGCATTACTACACTCCTACCATCAACCTGAGGCTGTTCAACTCCCTATATTCTAGCATCCACCAGGTTGCCTACTGCTTGGATATTATTAGGCATTATCATCTTTTTCACCTGCTTGTGTGGTTTGTTTTTGTTAGTCTGGGAATCCTGTTATACAGATGTTTAATGTAATCTATTATCAATCTTCAACATTTTATGATTTGTACTTACTTTTTTTTTTTTTGAGACGGAGTCTTGCTCTGTCACCCAGGCTGTAGTGCGGTGGCAGGATCTTGGCTCACTGCAAGTTCCACCTCCCGGGTTTATGCCATTCTCCTGCCTTAGCCTCCTGAGTAGCTGGGACTACAGGCGCCCGCCACCTCGCCCGGCTAGTTTTTTGTATTTTTTAGTAGAGACGGGGTTTCATCATGTTAGCCAGGATGGTCTCGATCTCCTGACCTCGTGATCTGCCCGTCTCGGCCTCCCAAAGTGCTGGGATTACAGGCTTGAGCCACCGCACCCAGCGATTTGTACTTTCTGTACTTTCAAATGCCAGAGGGGAAAAGTATTCACTATTTTCATTTTTAAAGTTTTCACTTTGTATTTTTTCCACCTTCAGGTCTTGAATCCTCTGGTTCCCCCAAGCTAGAATGTAAAGCCCTGTCCTGGTCCCACTTATTTACCCTACTGGCTGGGCGCAGTGGCTCACGCCTGTAATCCCAACACTTTGGGAGGTCAAGGTGGGTGGATCACCTGAGGTCGGGAGTTCAAGACCAGCCTGGCCAACATGATGAAAGCCCATCTCTACTAAAAAAAAAAAAATACAAAAAATTGTCCAGGCATGGTGGCAGGCACCTGTAATCCCAGCTACTCAAGAAGGCTGAGGCAGGAGAATCACCTCAATTGGGGAGGCGGAGGTTGCAGTGAACCGAGATCAGGCCACTGCACTCCAGCCTGGGCGACAGCAAGACTCCTGTCTCAAAAAAAATAAAAAATAGGCTGGGCATGGTGGCTCATGCCTGTAATCCCAGCACTTTGAGAGGCTGAGGTGGTTGGATTACGAGGTCAGGAGATCAAGACCACCCTGGCTAACACGGTGAAACCCCATCTCTACTAAAAATACAAAAAATTAGCTGGACGTGGTGGCATGAAGCGGTAGTCCCAGCAACTCGGGAGGCTGAGGCAGGAGAATCACTTGAACCCAAGAGGCAGAGGTTGCAGTGAGCCAAGATTGTGCCACTGCACTCCAGCCTGGGCAACAGAGTGAGACTCCGCCTCAAAAAAAAAAAAATAAATAAATAAATAAATAAATAAATAAATAAATACACACCCTACAACACCCTTCTCCCCATGTATTACCAGAGAGGTGCACCCTGTGCCCTCTGTTCCTGTGCTCTGTGTATAAATTACTATGAACTCACAATATGTTCCGTGGAAATTTTTCATGCCTATTTGATTCCATCTAAGATACTAATCAATTTCCAGATTCTTTCTGAACAGTATAGAGAACTTTAGAAAACAAGAAACACAGCAGTCACTAATATTTCCCTACACATTAGATTACATAGTTCTGATCTTTGTTTCCTCATATTACTTTGGAAGTTACATACTCATGATTCCAAAAATAGATACGAGTATACTACTGAAGCGTTCTTCCTTCAGACCTATCTACGTGAAATCATTTTCTGCCTGGAGTTATCCTTTAGAACTTCTGCCACTAGCCCTTAAAGACGTACTCTTTCATTCAGGAGGGTTATTTCAGCAGAGACAGAACACTGTGCTGCCTGTCTCTTTCCCAACATACCCCACTGCCTGCTGGGCTCTGCTATTACTGCCAGGACTTACCTGGCAGCCTCAGTGCTGTGCTTGTCAAGTTTTCCTCAGTCTATTTTTAAGTCTTTTTTTTTTTTTTTTTTTAATTTCATTATGACTTACACAGAATTCTTTTTATTTATCCTTCCTGGAATTTGGGCTTCCTGAGTCAGTGGACTGGTGCCACATCAGTTCTGGAAAATCCTCAGCAAATATCATCTTTATCTATTATTCTCTCTTTACACCTTCTGAGACTGATTAAAAGTAGGTCCAACCTTCTCACTTTCCCTTATCTCTTTCATATTTCCTGCCATTTTTATTTCATTCTTCCAACACTTTTCTGGTGTGGCCAATCTGCTGTGCTTTAGCAGCATTCTCTGAATTTCCAAATTTCATTGATTGTGCTTCATTTTCTCCCCACATCAATGTTAACTGTTTCGTTTCTTCTCTGCAGATTAAAAGATTATCTTATATTTAACCAAAGCCCCTTTAGTGAGGTATGGCTGACATACAAAGGCTGCACATATCTAATAATCTAATGCATAGAACTCAATGAGTTTGGAGAGAAAACCATCATTACAATGTAGGCCACAAACCTACTCATCAAAAGGTTCCCCCCATCCTCTTTTATTAGTTTTTGTGATAAGAACACTTAAAATAAGTAAATTCTTTTTAAAAATTTTTTGGAGAGATGAAACGTTGCTATTTTGCCCAGGCTAGTCTCGAACTCCTCTCTTGGCCTCCCAAAGCACTAGGATTACAGGCAAGAGCCACTGCATTCAGCATGCAAAATTTTAAGTGTACAATATAGTATTGTTAACTACAGGCACCATGCTGTACAGATCTCCAGGATTTATTCATCTCATATAACAAACTCTGTATGCTCCGTATTTCTTTAAATATAAAAAAACACTCTGGAACTAACAGGCAAGTTTTTCACTGGTTCTTTCTTGTGGTGCCTTGTTTTCTTACTTTGATTATATTTTACTGCAAGCTGCTAAAAGCCCTCGAAAAACACACGAGGACTCCTCAAGATCAGGATAATGACGCCTTTGTCCAGAGATAATGATTTTCATTTACTTCTAGTATCTGAAGCTGGCTATAAGAGCACAAAGGCCATCCTTTACTTCAATCTCTTGGGAACTTGTTATCTTTTTTCACTCTTTCCTCACCTCACTCAGTGCCCTGTGGATCTCTTGATAGGGTTGACTTCAGGGGTGCAGCGCCCCAAGGTCCCAGCTTAGTAACACAGACGGGACTATTACGACAACCCCCCAAACAGCAGGGGCCGAACTCTGATTTCTGAATTCGCTGGCCCACATGGCTATCAAAACCACAGCTCAGCTGGAGAAGTTCTATTTTTCCTCAGCAAAAGGCAGTCTGAGTCTTGCTGCGACACATGGAGAATCTTCAGATGGGCCTTTACCCCAGCTCCCTAAAGTTATTCTACTCCCTTCTGCCTTCTGTTGAGAATTCGTCAGTCTGTTGTTCCTTTGTAAGTCATGTGTTTTTTCCTATAGTTGCTCTTAAGATTTTGCTTTTCGGTCTTCACAATTTTAAGTCTTCTTTTAGAAAATATGCTCAGCTCTTATGGCTTACTGCTTTTTTCAGCTGCATTTAATCTACAGTTTAACTGTTCATTTAGCTTATTTCAATACTATTTTTTTCACTTCTTGAAGTTCTAAGTTTTCCATATCCTCATTTTTTTATAGTATCCCTTTCCATTATGGTTTCTATTTCTTTTTAGAACATCTCTAGTCATTGTGAACATCTCTTGTGGTACATTATTTCCTCATGTGGTTATGAATTCATCTTCTCTCCTACGGTAGTAAATGTCCCTACAGAGTGGTCTTACCCTTGTTTTTGCCAGGATTGACAGGGATTTATGTTAAATTCTTTGAGACAAAGATTTCTGTACATGTGGATAGTGGGACTGAGATTCTCCAACAACTGCAGACACAAGCTTTGCCAATTCCTTGGGCCAAGGTTTTCCAGTTCTACTCTCAAGCTTGACTTGTTTTTTGTTTTGTTTTGTTTTTTGTTTTTATTTTTTTTATTTTTTTTGAGACGGAGTCTTGCTCTGTCACCCAGGCTGGAGTGCAGTGGCCGGATCTCAGCTCACTGCAAGCTCCGCCTCCCGGGTTTACGCCATTCTCCTGCCTCAGCCTCCCGAGTAGCTGGGACTACAGGCGCCCACCACCATGCCCGGCTGTTTGTAGTTTTTAGTAGAGATGGGGTTTCACCGTGTTAGCCAGGATGGTCTCGATCTCCTGACCTCGTGATCCACCCGTCTTGGCCTCCCAAAGTGCTGGGATTACAGGCTTGAGCCACCGCGCCCAGCCTTTGACTTGCTTTTAAACTGCAGTTACATTTTGAAGATCTCTAGGTGTATGTGTATAGGTAAGGTGAGGATGAGAGATTCATACTAGCTCTGTCCTAGAAGCGCCAGTCAATTAAGAGTCCTGATCCTCTAGGAGCATGCCACAGCTCGAGGTCAACACATGTACAAACTTCTACCTTTAACCTACATCATTCACACATTTCAGCGAGCCCCCACTATCTGCCGGGTACTTGCTAGGACTACAATGGGATTGGAATTTGCCTCTAGAAGCATGTAGGAAAGAACACCTGCCACAGAGACAGAAGTTTCAAAAGATCTGAGCGAAAAGTTGGAGACTTCCGGTGGGTATACAGGCCCTGCTGGAAGCAGAGACATATCCACCAACACAAGTCTGTAAGAGCAGCACATGATTCGGAAGGACTGGAAGGAGACAAAAAAAAGTGAGTAGCAGCTATTTCTACCATCTTTCCTTGCCTCCATAATGGTGTGCATGAATGTCTTGGTCGATGCTCTCAAAGGCAAACACCAGGTTCTTATTAGGCTGTGCTCCCAAGTCATCGTCTGGTTCTAAGTGTGAAGACGAAACATGATCACATTGAAAAATTGAAATCATCGGTGATCACAGAGCTGGGAAAATTACTGTGAACCTCACAGGCAGGTTAAAACTGGAATGAATGGCCCCAGATTTGATGTGCAACTCAAAGATCTAGAAAAGTGACAGAATAATCTACTCCTATCCCAATAGTTTGGTTTCAAAGTCAGGTTGTACTGACAACCTCAGTTGGCATCACGGACCATGAAGAAAGAGATGAAAATACAGGAAGGAAAATAATGAGATTCTTTTATTTTTTTAATTGAGTGACAGGGTCTCACTCCATCACCCAGGCTGGAGTATAATGGAGCAGTCACAGTTCACTGCAGGCTTGAACTCCTGGGCTCAAGGTATCCACCCTTCAGGGGTTCTTTTCTAGGGATATAATATATGTATACAAACAAAATGACTCAAAGGGGAAAAAAAAGGGAATAATAGTTTATAGCCAGAATGTGAAGGCTTTTCAACAAGTCACATGAAAGAATCTACATCTTATCCTAACTGTTGAAAGGGAAACCTTTGAAAGATTAATAAGCTGATACATAAAAAAAAAAAACAGATTGGCTCAACAGACACACAACTCTTGAAGTTACATATGAAATAGAAAGTCAAAAAAATAAAGAAACTTCATGTCTCACTACTGAGGTGAGACAAAGATGTTTACCTAAAGCACTGGGCAAGAATGTCAAGAGAAACACAAGACAGAGACCTGCAGGTTGCCAAATTTAGCAAACAAGATCAAAAACAACAAAAAACAAGAAAGGATAAATCTGAGTTTTTTTTTTTTAAAAAGAAGAAATTTTAGTGTGTCTTAGCAAGTTGTATCTGAGATATACAAGAAGTATACTAAAAAAGTATTCACTATTGATCTGAAATTCAAATTTAACTGAGTATCAGCCAATTATCTACAAACAGGATAATAAGATTTGAAGAATAGGGAAGGAAAATGTCTATGCATGAGGAAAGATTAAAGGAACTATCAAGGCCTGGTTAGCACAGCCAAGACATATGCTTACCTGCATTGTGACTAGTCTGTCATCCACCATCACCTCCTTGGTCAGAAAGTCAGCTCCTATTGTGGCTTTGTACTGATTGCTGAATTTCTTATTCACATACTGGTTCATGAGTGATGTCTTCCCGACTCTGAAATTGGAGAAAAACCACAAGCATAAGTAAATAGGAAGGTCCTGAAACTCACATGAATTACTGGAAGCATTTAAAAGAATCTGCCTGACCTGAAGGAGAAGAAACTGCTCTCACAGCAAAGGGCAATGCCAGTAGCCTTCCCAGCATTACACTTTTGAAGTTTTGTGCTTTCTCTCTGGGTAAAAATACAAGGTACAGATGTGGGGCAGATGTGGAAAAGCTGCTTACATGTTTTGGTACAACCAGGTCAAATGGTAAAGCCTAGTATTATTTTTCCCATTCTAGAAGGATGCCAGCAAATATACTCCTTCTAAAAGAAGCTTCACTAATAAGACTGCTCTGCTATTCCAACAGTATCCCTGCTATCTCAGATGTTTCTCCATTTAGTGGCTGCTCTTTAGCTTGATGAAGTAACACCAGGAGGAAGACCTTGGCTTTGAGCAGACATATACCACTCAGACAATTTGCTGCTTTAAAGTTTAAAATCTGAAGCAGAAAAAACACCAATATATCACCAAACCAAATATACTTCAAAGAATACTCCTCCAAATATGTTTTCCAGTAAGAAAACTCAGCAAGAGACAATGTGTGATTTTTGCGTGATGAGAGGTTAAGGCAACCTAAAGATAATGCAAAAACCTTCCAAATACCCAGTGATATCACCTTCCTTTGCCACAAAGGAACATGTTCATATTTGTGTTAAAGAACCTGGAGGTACCTAGACAGCCTAAGGCAGTGTTTTCCAACCCAGACCACCTGAGCCAGAATCTCCAAGGGGAGAGGTGGCAAAACCTGGAATCAAATGAGGGCTCGGTGAGACTTTTTGCACACATTTGGGTAAGGCAGGCCTAAAAGCACTATCTTTCCATCCCGACAGGGATGGAGTTGCGGGGTAGGAAAGACAGCACAAATTTAGGCCCTAGCCCACTGGTCTGGGGCTGGACAAATGCTAGCGAATAAAAGGTTCTTCAAAGGCTGGGCATTGTGGCTCAAGCCTGTAATCCCAGCACTTTGGGAGGTCGAGACGAGTGGATTGCTTGAACGCAGGAGTTTGAGACCAGCCTGGGCAACACGGTGAAACTCTGTCTCTACAAAAAATACAAAAATTTAACTAGGAGTGGTAGAACATACTTGTGGTCCCAGCTACTCTGGAGGCTGAGGTGGGAGGATCACTTGAGCCCAGGAGGTTGAGGCTGCAGTGAGCTGTGATTGCACCATTCACTCTAGTCTGGGCAACAAGGCGAGACCCTGTCTCTCACACGCATACAAAAAAAGGTTCTTCAGGTGATTCAGATAAGCCAGTCAAGATAGAAAAACCTCTGGCTTTTCAAAGGAAGGACAGGGGACTTTGGACTAAAGAAGCATACCTGCATTTGCTATTGTTGTTATTTTTAAAAATGTATAAGCTTCCAATGAGTCAAAGCTTTCATGGGTCCCTTCAGATGCCACGTCCGAAAAGCCTACCACAGAATCTTTTTATTTTAAGAGTTGGGGTCTTGCTCTGTCACTCCGGCTGCAGTGCAACGGCATGATCATACCTTGCTACAGCCTCAAACTCCTGGGCTCAAGCCATCCTCTCGCCTCGGCCTCCCCAGAAGCTAGGACTACAGGTATGGCACCTGGCTATATTTTTTTTGTAGAGACAGGTCTCAAACTCCTGGGCTCAAGCAATCCTCCCCTCAGCCTCCAAAGCACTGGAATTACGGGCATAAGCCACCTCACCAAACCTACCACAGAATCTTAAAAGCCATTAGAGTGAGCTACATGGTTAGTGGCACATCTAGTATCAAAACCCAGTTCTGCCATCCCAGGCTCTTTTGCAGATAGACCTGAAGCAGGCACAGCAGCAGGAGGATACTGTATGGTACACTAAGAACACACATCTGCTGGGCCAGATGCCAATGGCAATACATTTATGTAAGGAAGACTCCCCAGCCTTGCCAGCTTGGAGAAAAGGGATTCCACGAAAATGCCTATCCTTAGTTGAGTTCAAATAGTCATCCGTCCCCCATAAAAATCATGCTAAAAACCAGAGAACAAAAGGTTATATAACAAGGATCATCTAAATTTCTGCCACGCAGGGAAATATGTAAGGCCCTAAGCCTCCACTGTGAAAGCAGGAAGTGGCAGCACAGACGGTATGGGCTCCGCAGCAGAGAAGCTTAGCTCTGAGCCAATCTGTTAGCTCAAATTCATGAGAAACTTACCCAGAATCTCCCAGGATGATAACCTTCAGCAACACTTTCTTCCTAGAGGTCATCCTTCAAACTAAAGGGGGAAAAGGAGAAATAACTGTGAGTGTGATGGAAACACCAAGGCAAAACACCTCCCTTGCACAAACGTCTTAGCAGCCCCGAGAGTGCAGGGCCCTGAGCCTTCCTGCTAGTTATCTTCTTTCCACCCAGGGGGCCCTGACAAAGAACAGTATCACTCATCAGAACTCTGGACCCAAGAGCTAGGCAGAACAGCACAGGAGGGCGATCCGGCCCCTGCAAGCTGTTGGAGAGAATGTCTTCTCTTGCTTGGGTGGCGGATCAATTGAATGGATCGGCAATTTGAACCAATGCTCCAACTTACTCAACAGCTTGGTCCTTGCTTCATTCAGGTCACTGCTTCAGTATCACTTTCTCAAAGAAATGACCGCTTTATCTAAAGCAGCATAACCCCTCATTTGCTCTCTATCCCATTACTCTGCTTGCTTTTTCTTCAGAGCACTTACCACTAATTTACATTTTTATGTACTATGTTAATCTGTTTTCTCCCTTTTCTAATAACCTCCATGAAGACAGTTTTATTCCTCATTGCATGCTCAACAACAAGTAGAAATTTATTTTTTTTTTTTGAGACGGAGTCTTGCTCTGTCACCCAGACTGGAGTGCAGTGGCCAGATCTCGGCTCACTGCAAGCTCCATCTCCCGGGTTCATGCCATTCTCCTGCCTCAGCCTCCGGAGTAGCTGGGACTACAGGCGCCCGCCACCTCACCCAGCTAGGTTTTTGTATTTTTTAATAGAGACGGGGTTTCACCGTGTTAGCCAGGATGGTCTCGATCTCCTGACCTCGTGATCCGCCCGTCTCGGCCTCCCAAAGTGCTGGGATTACAGGCTTGAGCCACCGCGCCCGGCTGAAATTTATTAAATGTTGGGTACTGTCTGAATAATACTTGATTCTGCAGCTCTAGGGACTACCCTTTTCCAGAAAATCTTTCAGGCATCCTTGTCTACTCATGACCAGAAGATGTGAAAAATGACTGATCTCTGCTCAACTGTCTTCCAAGACTTGCCACAGCATGGTCTATCTACTCATCAAGACAGGACTCCTGCCATAATTGCCTCTCATTTGCCAGGGTCTGACTCAGTGACTTCCAGAAAATGAATGGGACTCAGAAGAACTACTTGTTAGTTTCCTCTTTAACCACCTAACTTTTGAAGGCAAGGCTGACAGCAGTGCCTACAGTAGGAGTGACTTAAGCAGCAGATACGAACCCAGGCCACAGGAATTTCTATTCTGGTTTTGCCGCTTATTTTTTTAGCTATATGACCTTGAGCCAGTCATTTAATTTCTCTGCTGGAATAGGGAATATAGAGATGATAGCTCTTATGTCCTAAGAAGGCTGTGAAGACTGAATGAATAAAATGCTCAGGACAGTGACTAGAAAACAGTAGATGATTAGTAAATACTGGCTACTACCATCTTAAGGTATGCCATATGAGTAACAGAACACAGAGTCCAGAAGACAGTGAGAGAAGCAACAGGTCACAGCTCCTAGGCAAGGTTATCCAGCTATCCCCCTCTTTCCAGATGCTTGGCTGTCAATTGTTCTTTTTCTCAACAGGTGGTATTACACCCAAGACCACTAACTAAAAGGAAGTATCAGACCTGACTACTGTCCTACAGGGCAGGATTTGGTAACAAGGCCTACGCTCTTGAAAGTGACCATCCTCGATGGCTTCAGAGTCTGTTTCTGGCTACAAGAACAGTATGGGAATAGGAGCCAGACTAGAGGATGGTTTGCTAGGCAAATACCCCAGGTCCCATGACCTACGCAAAGGGTCAAGCTGTTTCTCTGCCAAAAGCCTCATGCCCATGGCTAGACTGTGAAGACACTGTATCTCAGCCCACCAGCATTTATCTAGAAAGTTCTTACTAGTGCTAGTTAGGGGCAGTATAAGATGACTTGAAGTTCTGTCTTCCATGATAATCAGCACCAAGAGGTATACCCCAAACTATTCATTATACGTGGAGCCCCAGTATTCCCCTTTCTCCCCAGGGACTGCTTTGACTGGTCAAAGCTTAAATGTCACACTCTAAAGTCTGGTATCACATTTCAAGATAGAGATCAGACGATGAGAGTGGTGGTAAGTTTCAAATCGAAAGAAGGGGAGGCCAAGGCAGGCGAATCATGAGGTCAGAGTTCGAGACCAGCCTGGCCAACATGGTGAAACCCTGTCTCTACTAAAAATAGAAAAGGCTAGGCGTGGTGGCTCACGCCTGTAATCCCAGCACTTTGGGACGCCGAGGTGGGCGGATCACAACGTCAGGAGATCAAGACCAGTCTGGCTAACATGGTGAAACCCCGTTTCTACTAAAAATATGAAAAATCAGCTGGGCGTGGTGGCACGCGCCTGTAGTCTCAGCTACTAGGGAGGCTGAGGCAGGAGAATCACTTGAACTCGGGAGGCAGAGGTTGCAGTGAGACGAGATCACACTACTGCACTCCTGCCTAGGCAACAGAGTGAGACTCTGTCTCAAAAGAACAAAAAACAAAACAAAATTAGCTGGGCATGGTGGCACATGCCTATAATTCCAGCTACTCAGGGGGCTGAGGCAGGAGAATCGTTTGAACCCAAGAGGCAGAGGTTGCAACGAGCCGAGATCATGCCACTGCACTCCAGCCTGGGTGACAGTGTGAGGCTCTGTTCCAAAAAAAAAAAAAAAAAAATTTGGGGGCCCCCCCCTTGTAATTCCAGCTACTCCGGAGACTGAGGCAGGAAAATCGCTTGAACCCAGAAGGCAGAGGTTGCAGTGACTGGTGGGGAAGGGAAAAAAAGGCTGGGTATGGTGGTTCATACCTGTAATGCTAGCACTTTGGGAGGCTGAGGCAGGTGGATCACTTGAGGTCAGTAGTTCAAGACCAGCCTGGCCAATATAGTGAAACTCCGTCTCCACTAAATACACACAAAAAAAATAACCAGGCATGGTGGTGTGCACCTGTAGTCCCAGCTATTCGGGAGGCTGAGGCAGGAGAATCGGTTAAATCCAGGAGGCAGAGGTTGCAGTGAGCCGAGATCACGCCACTGCACTCCAGCCTGGGCGACAGAGCAAGACTCTGTTTCAAAAAGAAAAGAGATAAAAAGATGATAAAAGGATCTGCAAAGATATTTGGAGAATATTTATGAAAGTGACTGATTTTGAGAATGGGAAAAGGGACTTGCACAACTTGCTTTGTTAATATGTTTCACTAGTGTACCAATGTTGTTTAATAATATTAAAAAGAAAAGAAACAGGAAACACACTTCAACCTCCACACTCCCACATGACAGAATTCATGTTTGTTTCCTTCCCTTTGAGTCTCTACCCACATGTGTCACAAAGCAGTGACCATCAGGCCACCTTACATCTTAATGTCTAATACCTCTCTGAGTGAATTAAGCATTTAAATAGCCATTCCTGCTCTTTATTTATTAATATAACAAAAATTTGGAAAAAATGCTGTAATCTGTGGGATTACTTCCTTGAGATAAAGCAACACCTATGTGGGGGTTGAGGGGTGGGTAGATCTTCCTAGATTCCGACTCATAAGACTATCATAGGCCATATTTGGCACAAGTCCACTGAGAAGGACGGGGACAGAGACACAGCTGGCAGGCAGGGCAGTGGCAGGTCAGCAGCAGCAGTTCTTGCAAGAGTCCATACACAAGATGGCTCAGGCACAGGGAGACTGTGTTGACTCAATACCTTGACTTAGAACGCTCAATCTTGGGGGTGCCAGTATCTCTTTTGACAGCTCCTTAGGCTCCCTATAAGGACATCCCCAGAAGAGTCACTGTGTTCCATGAAACAAAAGCCTGGTGGCCCATCAGGTATCCATGGCTCTTTCCTGTCCAAATGTAATTTACCAATCAGAGGATATTTTACCATAAGGACCATGCCCAGCAACAAATGTGACATTCTGCCTTATCTAGCTCCCAGGGAAACAGAGCTAGAAAGTTAAACAAAGGTCAAATTCTCATGCAAGGAAAGGATTTTGTCAATTGTAACTCATGGATACCGTTTAGGGATGGGATTACTGAGTCAAAAGCAAAGTTTTGGCCAGGCGCGGTGGCTCATGCCTATAATCCCAGCACTTTGGGAGGCTGAAGAGGGTGGATCACCAGAGGCCAGGAGTTCGAGACCAGCCTGGCCAACATGGTAAAACACTGTCTCTACCAAAAATACAAAAAATTAGCTGTCGTGGTGGTGGGCGTCTAATCCCAGCTACTAGAAAGGCTGAGTCAAGAGAATCGCTTGAACTCAGGAGGCGGACGTTTCAGTGAGCTAAGATCACACTACTGCACTCCAGCCTGGGCAACAAGAGCAAAACTGTCTTTTTTAAAAAAAAAAAAAGCAAAGTTTTCATGATTTTTGCTAATTCACTTTCCTGAAAGATTTTTCCAATTTACACAACAATCACTATTACAGTGGTTAGCAGGAGTACAGAACCTAAACGAGAAAAATGATAATTTTACAGAGAAAAAACAATCTGAATAAACAGTCTAGCATTCTCTCCTATTTAAACAAGCCAGTTTTTTTTTTTTTTTTTTTTGAGGTGAGGAGGGGAGGCTGGGGAGAATTTAATTAAACAATTCCATTTTTATTCATAAAAATAAATAAATACACAAGAAATGTCCCTTCCCCTAAAACACTAATGACAAGAGACTTGCCTTTACAGTCTTAGAAAGTATGCTATAAAAATACAGTATTAACAGTGGGGTGCTGGAATAGGACTAAACCGATCAAGGAAAGGGGCACCAGAAATGGAACAATTTTGACAAATACGGCATTATAAAATTCAGAGGCAAAAAGATGAACAATTCACTAAATGGTAAGAGTCAGAAAAATTTTGGTGAGAATTAAGATCTCTACATCTCCTCTTCCAAGAGAGTCCCAAAGGAGTAAAGATTTGAATGTAAAAATGGTTACACATGAAGCAGAAAGGAATACACACAAATATTAGCAAGTTGTTCCATGTGGTGGGATTACAAAGGTTTTTGTTTCCTTATACTTAACT